CGCGCCGGACGCGGTCGTCCCGCGCGACCTCGTCGCCGCGCCGGGGCCGCTTGCGCGGCGGCGGCCGCGGCGGCGCGAAGCACGCGGCGAGCCGCCGCCGGCGCGCCATGCGATCGGCCGACGCGCCGCGGTCGGACGACGCGCAGACCAAGGCGACGTCCGCGTGCTCGCGCCAGCCGGCGCCGCCGGTCCGCCCCGCGAGCAGCGCGCCGGCGGCGTAGGCGGCCTGGACGCCGTCGGGCACGGCGTCCCAGTACGTCAGCGCGTCCCAGGCCGCCACGGCGTGCAGCAACGCGCGGCATGTGGCGCAGGTGCGCTCCGCGAGGCCGAGGCAGGTTTCGAGGTCGCCGGCCTCGTAGGCGTCGATGGCGACGAGCGCGAGCGACGAGACTTCGTGGTAGGGGTCGGTCGTGACGTAGGGGTTCGACGCGACGTCCGCGCGCAGCGCGGCGGCGAGTTTGGCGTCGATGGAACTGGCTTGAGAAGAGGCTGCCATAGCTCTCTTTTGCCACAGTAAATCGCTTATTTTGAAGTTTTTTACCACTGGGCCAGCTCGATTATGAACGACGTGACGAGCTGAAAAATGACGAGCCTGATCGTGTTCGAGGCGCCGTCCTGGTCCGTGGAGGACGGCGGGCCGCACGCCGTCGACGGCTTCAAACCGCCGCAGCTGCGCAGGGACGACGACCCGGCGCCGGCGCCGTCGGACGAGCTGGTGGTCATACGCGTGTGGTGCGCCGCCGCGTCCTGCACGTCGCGCGACGACGAGTTCGGCGGCGGCGAGGGCGTGCCCCTAGCGACCTTCGGGTCCTGCAGCCGCGTGAGCGTGAACCGGTCGGCGCTGCTCGCGGCGTCGCGCTTCTTCCGCGGCGCCTGTCGGGGCGGCGGCGGCGGCGTCGAGATCAAGGTCCCGAGCCCCGCGTTCGTCGACGCCTTCGTGCTCGCGCTCCACGACGTCGTCCCGCCCGAGCGGCCCGGCGCGTCGCCGCGCGTGGGGACGAGGAAGGTCGTCGCGCCGGGCGAGATCGGCCCGCGCAACGCGTTCGCGATGCTCGCCGTGGCGGAGTTTTGCGGCCTGACGGCGGTGCGCAAGGCCGCGGAGCGCGTCTTGGTGGCGACGCTGTCCGCGCGGACCATGCTGCGTCTCGCCGCGTACGCGTCGACGGCGGCGGACCCGGACGCGCGGCGCATCGTGCTCGGCGCCTGCTACGAGCGGCTGAAGCGGCGCGGCGCGACGGCGGACTCGGAGAAGGCGCGGAGCGACCGCCGCGTCGCGCGGCCTCTAGTCTTCGACGGCTCGGCGCTGCATCTGCACCCCTTCGGGTGCGTGAACCCCGCGCTCTTCGCGGATTTGATCGCCGCGGAACTCGCGCGGAAGCGTCCCTCCTACGCGCGGCCCTTCCTCCGGTCGGCGCCGCCGGCCGCGCCGGGCGCGGCGACGGCGCTCGGCCTCGGCAAGCTCAACTGCCTCGGCGCGGACGTCAACGACCGGCCGCCGCCCGCGCCGCCGCGCGCGTCGCCGGCCGTCGCGCGCGGCGTGTCCCGGCCGCCGCGCCGCGACGCCGCGGACAGGGACCCGGACGACGACGAGGCGCGGGGGAGCTTCCTGGGGCAGGCCGACGAGCCGGAGGAGGACGCGGCGCTCGCGGCGGCGGCGGAGTCGCTCGCGGGCGTGAGCCTGGGCGAGGACGACGACGCGGACCGCGCGCCCCGGGGGCCCGCGGTGTCGGCGCAGGGCACGCGCTTCGCGGAGATGCGGCGCTGCTACCTCGTGCGCCGCCGCGAGGGCGAGGAGGGCAAGACGGCCGGCGGCAAGAAGAAGCTCGTGTCCCACTTCGCGCTCTACGACGACGCGACGCTCGAACTGTTGGCGACGGCGCGGGGCGTGCCCGAGCGGGCGACCTACGACTTCGCGCTGTCGACGGACGACGCGGCCTTCCGCCGGGGCCACGCGGACTACCTCGGCGAGGCGCGGTCCTCGCACGCGGGGTCGCGGTTCCTCCTCCGGGACTGGCGCGTGCCGGAGCTGCCGCCGGGCTGCCTCGAGGCCCTCGGCGCCGAGCACCGCGCGGCCGTGACGTACCGCGCGAACGTCCTGGGCCGCGTGCCCAACTCCATGCGCGTCGCGACGATCGACGGCGACGACGTGCTCCGGTTCCGCACGCGCGCGCCGAAGTGGAGCGACAAGGTCCAGATGTGGACCATGGACTTCCAGGGCCGCGTCAAGCGCGCGTCCAAGAAGAACTTCCAGCTCCACCTCGTCGACGACGACGAGGTCCGCCTCCTCTTCGGGAAGGTGTCCAAAAACCGGTTCAGCCTCGACTTCGCGCCGCCCTTCGCGCCCGCGTCGGCCCTCTTCGTCGCGCTGACGACCTTCGCGTCCAAGCTCGTCGTCGCCTAAGCGGAGCTTATTCCGAGTGCCGCCTAGGGGCCGCGGCGCCGCCTAGCAGCCGCAGGCCCAGGATTTTTTCGGCGCGTCGTCGTCGACGATGGGCTTCGGCTCCTCCTCGCCGTCGTCGTGGAACGAGACCTTGGGCCCGCCGCCGTTCTCGGCGCCGCCCTCGTCGCCGCCGTCGCCGTCGGGCGCGGGTCGCGGCGCGGCGCCGCCGCCCGAGTTTTTCTGTTCGCGGAGCATCGAGAGGCGCTTGTCCCGGTGGAAGAGGCTCTTGCGGAGCTCGCCCATCTTGTCGATCTCCTCGAGGTGGTCGTCCTCCTCCTGCTTGATCTTCTCGTCGAGCGTCGGCTCCGCCTTGGGCGGCGCCGCGGACGCGAGCCACTCGCTCGCCTTCCGGATGGGCTTGCCGAGCGGTTTCGGGAGCGCCTCGGCCGTCTTGCCGCCGATGAGCCGGATCACGGGCGCGACCTTGGGCGCCTCGCAGACCTTCTTCGCCACGCGGCCGGCGATGACGACGGCCGCGGCCGCCGCGAAGATCGTAACGCCCAACAGTTTCTTCGCGACGACCGTCGTGACCGGGAAGAGCGCGCGCAGCACCTTGAGCTTCACCTTGAGCAGGGCGACGGCGGCGGCGAAGAGGTGCTGGAGCAGGAGCACCTTGGCGCGCAGGACGCTCCGCAGGCCCTTCTTCAGCGGCGACACCTCGACGTAGGAGGTTTGGCGCTCCAGGGCGCCGCCGGGGCCGTCGGCCCCGCCGTTGGCCCCGTTGGTCTCGTGGTGCGCCAGCGCCTCGAGCGAGTTCACCTCGTCGTCGGGGCTCGCCGACAGAACCCGCGAGGGCCGCCGCTTTCGGGGCGGGCACATCTCGTTTCGATTCGTGGCTGCCCTCGAGGATTGGCCGTAACCAATTTGCAGTTGCGGTATCTCCTTGCCCTCGTCGTTGACCTCGTATCCGTTGTCGTTGACGCGCGGCGCGCCGGCGGCCGGGGCGCCGGCGGCCGCCGCGGCGACCGGCGGCGGCGCCGGCGTCGGCGGTGGCGTCGGCGGCGGCGCCGCGGGGGGCGCGGCGACGTCCGCGCCGCCGTCGTCGTCCGCCGCCGCGCGCGCGGCCGCGAGCCGCCGCGCTTCCTTCGCCTCCGCGGCCAGCCGCATGGGATTCGTGCGCATCGACGACCGCCGCTTCGGCGCGAAGGGCTCCTCGATGGGCTTCTTGACCGCCTTCTCCGCCGCGGCGACCCGCTCCTCCTCGGCCGCCGCGGCCGCCGCGGCGCGCCGCTCCTCTTCGGCCGCGGCCGCCGCGGCGCGCCGCTCCTGCTCCGCGGCGGCCGCCGCGGCGACCGGCGGCGGCGGCGGCGGCGGCGGCGCGGCGGGAGGCGCGGCGACGTCGGCGCCGTCGTCGCCCGCGAGCCGCTGCGCTTTCGCCTCCGCGGCCAGCCGCATGGGATTCGTCCGCATCGACGACCGCCGCTTCGGCGCGAAGGGCTCCTCGATGGGCTTTTTGACCGCCTTCTCCGCCGCGGCCTCAGCCGCGCGCCGCTCCTCTTCGGCAGCCGCGGCCTCCGCGGCGAGCCGTTCCTCTTCGGCCGCCGCGGCCTCCGCCGCGATTCGCTTTTCCTCGGCCGCCGCGGCCTCCGCGGCGCGCCGCTGCTCCTCGGCAGTGGCCTCGGCGGCGACCCGCTGCTCCTCGGCCGCCGCGGCCTCCGCGGCGCGCCGCTCGTCCCCCGCCGCGGCGGCCTCCGCGGCGAGCCGCTCCTGCTCGGCGGCGGCCTCCGTGGCGAGCCGCAGCTCCTCCTCCGCGGCGAGGCGCAATTGTTCCGCCGCGGCCTCGTCCGCGGCCCGCTTCTCTTCCGCCAGGTCGGCGACGCGCTTCTCCTCCGCGCGCCGCTTCTCTTCCGCCTCCGCGGCGAGTCGCGCGAAGAGCGCCTCGGCCTCCGCGGCGACGCGCGCGCGCTCCGCCTCGACCTCCGCCTCGGCGCGAGCCCGCGCCTCGTCGACCTCGCGCGCGAGGGCCGCGAGCCGCTCGCGCTCCGCGGCCTCGGCCTCGGCCGCGTCGTCCGCCGGCGCCTCGGCCTCCGGGACGTCGAGGGCCCGCGTCAGCACCTCCGGCGTCGTCATGTTCAGGTGCGACGCCCGGGCGACCGTGCCCGCGCCCTCGCAGACCGGCGCGGCCCCGTCGTCGGCGGCGCCGCCGCGCGGCGGCGGGAGCGCGAACCCGTTGGCTGGATGGGCGAAGAGCGCCGCGTCCTCCTCGGCGCTGCCCGCGTCGTCCTCGGCGCGTGCCGCGCCCTCGTCCGCGTCGTCCGGCCGGCGCTCCGCGCTCTCCCGCAGCGCCGCGGCCACCGCCGAGAGCGGTTCGCCGTCCTCCGTCCGCGGCGTGCGCGGCGGCTTCGGGCTGCCGAAGCCGTCGGCGTCGGCCTTCGCCTTCGCCGGGCTCGACAGGATCGCGTCGGCGATGGCCGAGAAAGGCTCCGGGTCCGCGTCTTTCATGTCTTAGGTGTGGATCCTCACGGGCAGCCTCCCATTCGCGTCCCGACGAGACCGAAATTCGGTTTGCGATGGTTGTTGAACTTCAAGCAAAACGCTCATTCTCCTTTGTGAGCCCTCAATGGTGCGCGCACTCACAGCGAAGCTCTGCCTTCTCGCGACCAATGCGCTACAGCCGCAGCTCTACATCGCCGGCGTCGATGCGACGCTGCCGCAGGCGCAGCAGCGCCGCGCGCTGATCGCCGCGCTCGGCGGCGAGAGCGAGGTCGAGGCCGTGGACCTCTTCGCGGACCGGGACTTTGCGTTCGCGACGATGCGCTCCGAGGCCGCGGCCGCCAAGGCGCTCGCGCAGGGCGCGCGGCGGCCGCTCTTCGCCGCGGTCGAGCGGGCGAGGTCGCCGCGGCCGCGGCGGCGGCGCACGCTCGAGAGCGGCGCGCTCCCGGCGCCCGCCGCCGTCGCCTCCGGCCTCGAGGTCGTCGCGGACGGCGTCAAGAGCCCGGAGAACGCGGGCGGGCTCCTGCGGCTCGCGGCGACGCTCGGCGCCGAGTCGCTCGTCCACGTCTTCGCCGACGGCTCGCCGCCTCCGGCGTACCTCGACGCCGCGTCGGCCGTCGGCCGGCGCGCGCGCGCCGTCGCCAAGGGCTGCGACGCCCACGTGCGACCCGCGGCCGCGGCGCGGTCCGAGCTCCTCGCGTACCTCGCCGAGGACGGCCGGCGGCCCGTCGTCGCGCTCGAGACCGCGTCCGACGCCGTTTCCCTGCCGGACTTTTCGTTCCCCGAGCGCTGCGCGATCCTCGTGGGCGGCGAGGGGTGCGGCATCCGGCGGCGCGTCGCGAGCGCGCTGCGGCCGGAGCTCGGCGACGCGTTCGTCGTCATCCCCATGGCCGGCGCGCACCGGTCGCTCAACGTCGCGACGGCCCTCGCGATCGCGGCCTACGAGTACCGGCGCCAGTGGCCCGGCTAAAAATTTACGACGGCGCCTTCTCCGTGAGCCCCTCCCGCGGGTTCGTGAGCGGCGGCTTGCGCCGCTCGATCTCGTCCTTGAAGAGGGGCTCGATGGACTCGGTCTTGCGCATGACCTCGTGGGACGCGTTGACGCGGCAGATCCAGACGAGGCGGCGCATCTCCTCGAGCCTCCGGTCGCGCTCGTGCTTGAGGAAGACGCCCCAGAACTTGTCCACGGCGCACTGGTCCGCCTCCTGGAGCGTCATCCGCGCGCGCTCGTTCTTCTCGCGCGCGCGCTCGTGCTTCTTCGCCTCGCGCGTGGCCCGCAGAGCGCGGCGCGCGTCGGCGGCGCGCGCCGCGCCGTCGACGCGGAGCTCCTCGCGCAGCACCTTCAGCCGCGCCTTCTCCTCTTCCCGCTTTCGGATCCGCTCCTCGCGCAAGATCGCCTCCGCGTTGAGGAGCTTCTCCCGCGCGTCGTCGACCATGAGCGAGTCGTGGCGCCAGGATTCGCAGTCCGCCGCGAACTGGGCCTTGGTGAGCATGGACTCGTGGGACGCGAAGGCCTCGTTCTGCGCCGCGGACCGCGCCTCGTAGTCCGCGGCGCGGTGCCTCTCGCGCGCGACGGCGCCCGAGTCGTCGGCGATGATCAGGGGCGCCGTGCCGAAGATGTAGGCGGCGGCGGCCTCCGTCAGGGGCACGCCGTCGTCAGAAATCTCGCGCTTCTTGCAGGACACGCCGCCGTTCGCGACCTCGTCGCGGCGCCAGAGCGTCGTCGGCGCTTTTCGGTCGCTCCGGTGCTCCTTCTCCGACTGGAGCTTGCAATAGAGCGTGCGCTTGACGAGCATGGCGTCCGTGTTCCGCACGTCGTTGGCCTCCCACTTGCCGAGGAGGCCCGACGTCTCGCGCTCGAGGTCCGCGCGCGCGCGCTTCGCTGCTTCGATCGCCTCCAGCCGGAGCCGCTCGCGCTCCGCGCGCTCCGCGGCGCGCGCGGCGCGGTGCTCGCGGGCCCGCACCTTGCCGGCGATGCCGTGGAGGCACTGGATCGCGCCGTGGAGCACGGACCGGCGCCGCTCCGCGTGCCACCACCGCGCGCGCGCGTCCTCGCTCTTCTGCTTCGCCTCGAGCTGTTTGAGCTTCCGGTTCCCCAAGAGGTGGTGGTACTCGCGGTCGTTCGTGTGGTGGGCCATGAACCCGTAGACCTCCTGGCGGCAGGGCCCGCAGATCGTCGCCGTGTCGATGCGCACGTCGAAGCCCCGCGCGTCCGAGCGGCCGAGGTCGAAGCAGACGCGCGCGCCGCTCTCCTCGAGGCCGAGCCAGGTCAGCAGGCTCGGGTGCGCCGGGTCCTCGACGAGATCCTCGCGGAAGGTGTACAGATCCGCCGCGAAGGGCTGGAGGAGCCGGTCCGCGGGGGCCTCGCCGGACGCGTTCTGCTCCAATAAGAACTGGCGCCGGTGCTCGCCTGTGTGGAATTCAACCAGTGAGCTGGGACGTCGGGGCCAAACTTGAGAATTCTCTAGCTCGGTCAAATCGAAGTCGATTCGGCTGATTTTTGGACGAATCGATCGCTCTCGTCGAGTTCTCGAAGCACAGCCAAAGAGCTCGCGTCAAAACATTCGAATACGCTCACATTGACGTCGGGTTGAAGATTTGATTTGCACACAGGTGCTCGCGCTTGTACGCGCACATGGAGCAGCGGTGGTCCGGCGGCTCGTCGAGGAGCCGCAGGACGCAGGAGAAGGGCAGCAGCTGGCCGCAGGCCCGGCCGACGCGCTTCCGCTCCGCCTGCGTCATCCGCCGGAAATGGGCTATCAACGCGGACCGCTGCTCGCGGCCGAGCCGCGGCAGCTCGCGCCAGCGGTGCTCGGGGAAGGTCCCGTGGAGCAGCACGATGTCCACGCCCTCCGTCGGGTCGTCGGTGAACGCCGAGATGAGCGGCGCCGCCGCCGCGGCCGGGTCCTCGGGCTCGGCCTCGAAGAGCGACTCCAATATCGCGAACGCCTTGAGGCGGATGCTTTCGTCGGGCACGTGCTCCAGGAGCGTCCCGACGAAGACGCGCCGGTCGCTCGGCCGCAGCGTCGCCAGCGTCGCGATGATGTCCTTCTGCTTCTCGATGGGCAGCTCGTCGACGAGCCGGTCCACGAGCTCCATGGCGCTGCCGGACGTCCCGGGCCGGCTGCTCGCGCTCGTGCCCGGGCGACCCGGCGACCCGGACCGGTGCGGCGACCCGGACCGCATGGGCGACCGCGACGCCGGCGACCCGGACCCGCGGGACCCCGGGGTGCCCCGGCGCTGGGGGGACCGGCCCCGGGATGGGCTGCGCGCGGCCATCATGGTGCTAACGCGGCTGCCCGAAGGGAAACTTTGGCAAGGTGCCCTCGGCTCTGTGGCAATGGGCTTGCGCGTGGCGGCGTAGCCGGGTCGCAGCTCACGAGCGACCAGCATGGCTGCACAGTCCGAAGCCGTCCACCTGCTCCTGCAGCGCGCCAGGAC